AAAATTTTTTTTTAATCTTTATGGGAGTAGGAAGCCTCATCTTTCTCCCTGTAGGAAGGCAAATAAAAGGGAAAGAGGTACAGTAGTTCAAAGAGTTTTCAACTGGTAGACCAGGAATATGGTAGCTCCATTATTTAATGTAGAAAAGTTAGGGGGGGAAATAATTTAGGGGGCAAGCTGGGAAAAAAAGAGGGGTGTTAAAATCCCATGGTGAGGTCCCTCACCAAGAAGACTCCGACTTCAAATAGCCCAGGATTGATTTGCTCTGGACACTGGAATTTTTAATGTCTCCCAAACATTTCTAATCTTCAGCCAAAGTTGAGAATCATTTTCTACAGGGACTTCCATTAAGACACCTGACAGCCTTAAGAGAGAGCGGGGTGGGAGGTACAGGTATTTGAAGTCTCAGGGTGAGCTGAGATTGCTGGGAGAAAGTCAAAGGAGGAAGGGAGAGAAAGGGAAGGGAGGAGAGGGGAGGGGAGGAAAGAAGGAGTAGAGAAGTAGGAAGAGACTATTGGGAAAATAACCTAGTCCAAAAAAACGGGAACATCAGATGCCTGTCGGTTTGGCAGGTTGTGGAGGCTTGTGTGTTGCTATGATTCAGGAAGCTGTGCCACCGATCTATCAAATATTAGCAAGGTGATCCATGGTAGGCAGGTTTCACAGGACTTCCAGACTAGGCAGAAAGGCTGCTTCTGAAAATCACCCAGTGCAAACCCTAAAGTATTGCCCAGAAAAGTGCTGGAAGATGAGGGGCTCAATTAGAATTCACTCAAACTGTCTTAACAATGAGCACTGAAAATACACACCTGCCATCCTTAGGATGGTCCAGGACTGAACAACATTTTACCCTATTGGACATCCTACCACCACGTGTTGGAAGCAACTCAACAACTAGCAAAGGGGAAGGGGGCAGCAAAGGAAGCCAAGAATGATGACATGGTTGACAATGGGGGATGTGCAAGAACGCATGGTTCTTGACGGAGAAAGAAGCCTCAAGTCTGAAGGGTGTGTTCTAGGGAGAGAGTAGACACGACTTCTCAGTGACACGAAGAGGCTGCCATCCCCACCACTCTCACCCCATTCAATACCTGGGCAAACAACTGGTGCAACACACCCGCTCCACTGTGCTCTCCTCACGCCTCTTATTCTGCGGGGCTCCACAGAGGGGACCGGGTTGGGGGGGGAGGGGTTAATGCCTTAGGAATTGTATGTCTAAAGCACACAACCCCCTACTTATCTTCATGTCTATTAACCCACAGGCTGACACTTTTACCCTACTGATAAGGTGCATACAACACACATTTTATGATCACTATTTGACACTACTGCATTTAAGATTGCAAAAGACTATTAAAAGGTCATGTTTGCCTACTATGTGCTGCCGACCCAGCCTGGCTCACATAGATTCGCCTGCCACAGAGATGGACATATAATATTGCTCTCTGAACTGAGTTTAGCCTCACTGGCCTCTTCAAAGAGGGAAACATCAGATTAACCAAAACTTTGAAGGCTATTGAGTACACTTCCCAATTTCCCAAAGTCATGATGTTGCTTGGCAGGTCAGTCAGCTGAGAACTGCCTATGGCAGCTATAGTGGACAGTCATAGAGAACTAGGCATCACCGTAACGGCCTTAGGCAGCTGCTATTGGGTAGGCTCCAGACTCCTGGTAAGCCCACACACAATGGAGCACAACAACGAATGGTCCTGCTTCATCTCTGTCATCAGTTATATCAATCCATTGTGAGCTATAGGGTTTTCCCTGGCTAATTGTTGGAAACAGATCACCAGGCCTTTCTTAATATCGCCTGTCTTAGTCAGTAAGCTTCACTTAAGCCTGTTGAGCACCATAGCAGTAAGCAAGCCTCCAGTAGCAGAGAGGTGGTGGCTGTACCTGAGGCACAATGACTGGGAAACAAACCCAGGTCTCCCATGGAGAAGATGATACTTCTACCACTGAACCGCCCAGCTCACTATGCACCCTAGTCCAAAATCTCAGAGTCACTGCCGTCCAGTTGGTTCTGACCCATAGACCTAAAGGACAGGGTAGAACTGGCCCATTAGGTTTCTGAAGCTGACATATTTACCAGAGTACAAAGCCTCATCTTTCTCCCACAGAACAGCTCGTGGGTTTGAATTGCTGACCTTGGGTTTAGCAGCCCACAACATCATTCACTATGACCCCAGAGCTCATGTAGCCTAGTAAAGTCACCCAAAGCAGCCATGCATTTTCAAAAAGTAACGAGTGTTCCCTGTACTTGAAAAACCGATGTCTTCTGTCCTTATAGCTCTTAGTATATAATATATATGTATATGCATATACACACCCACACATATACATACTTATTTCCATGGAGTCGAATCTGACTGATAGCAGCCCTGTAGAACAGAGTAGAGAGAGAGAGAGAGAGAGAGAGAGAGTGTGTGTGTGTGTGTGTGTGTGTGTGTGTGTGTGTGTGTAAAATCCACCGCAATCATGTCAGGTGTGACTTACAGTGAGCCTATGCGTTCCATAGTTGCATCATGAGCTATTGTTGGTGTTAGTACTGTCAAGTTCGTTCTGACTCATAGTGACCTCACGCACAGCAGAATAAAATGCTGCCCAGTCTGGTGCTGTCATTACAATCCTTGGTGTTTGAGCCCATTGTTACAGCCAATGCGGCAAACCATCTCCTTCAGGATCTTCTTCATTTTCTCCTGTCCTTTCACTTCACCAGAAGTACTGGTGGCTTATATTGGACTGCGATCTACAAGGTCAGAAGTTTGAGGCCATTGGTCACTCCACAGGAGAAAAACAAGCTTTCTACTCCCCTAAAGAGTTGTCATATTCAAAGCTCAAAGGAGGCAGTTCTACCCTGTCCTACAGGGTCTCCGTGAGTCAGTATTGACTCTCTGGCAGTGATTTAGTTTTTTGAATCTACCAAGTATGACGTCTTTTCCCAGGAAATAGTCTCTCCTGGTAACAAGACCAAAGTAGGTGATGCAAAGTTTTGCTGCTTCCAAGATAGATGTGTTTATTTCTTAAACTAAGGTGTGAATAAGATATTAGGGGATAAAAGGAAATTCCTGGCTAAGTCAGTCATTAGAACTCACATGGTTAGGGATACCCAGGAAATGTCTTTTGGAGACAAATCCAGTTGAAAGATGTAGTCGTCATTAAGGTTATTGACCAGATATTTTCGTTTCTCCCTTGCCTCTCTCCTCTCCCACTCTAGATGGGATGGTTATACTTCCCAACCTCCCAGTCGTTAGGAGGAACTATTAACAATTCTGGACATTCCACTGCCAGTAGAACCTGTGGTCACTTATCCCTTTGGTAGAACGACTGGCAAATTCAAGGTGGTGGCTGCTCTGTCAGACTGAGGACTACCAGAACAGATGGCCCTGGAGGACCAGTGAACCCAGTGGAGCATCAATCTATGTTGCAGCAACCACTCCAATTCAAATGTTGTTCCCAGTCTATCCGAATTGATACAAGAGGTATGCAGCCTCAGAGAAACAAGGCTGAGTAGTGTCGCCCTGTACCATCGCTCAGTGGGGATAGACACTTTTGAGCCCTGATTCAAGAGTTTCTATGTGTCCAGCACTGTTCCATGTAGTTAACTCTTAACCACCTTAGAAGATGTGTACTGTTAGCATTTCCACTTGAAACATGCAGGAGGGAAACCGAGACTAAACACATTGAGTTGTTCGAGCTCATAGTAACCCTTCAGGGGGGTGGAACTGTGGGTTTCCAAGACTGTAACTCCACAGGAGTAGAAAGCCTCATCTTTCTCCTACAGAGTGGCTGGTGATTCAAACTGTAGACCTTTACGCTAGCTGCCCAAAGCATAACCACGATGTCACCAGTGCTGAAAATCATCCTCGCTTTCACACTTCATAACTAGGTTCCCTGACTTTATACTCCTGTAAACAGTTACAATCTCAGGCCAACACGAGTCAGCATAGACTCAATGGCAGCAAGTTTGGTTTGGTCATTATTTTTGGTGTCATTGTTGTACATATGGTCACTATGAGTCAGAACCAATTCTGTGGTAGTGAACCACAACAGAACCAGGATTTCAACCATGATGGCCTGGTTCTAGCTTCTGTACCCTTAGCCAACTCTGAAGTACAGCTGATCGATGATAGCATTCCATTTGTAAAGTGATTTCAGACCTGGGCCTGACCTGGTGCGCTTGGTTTCCAGGAGGCTGCCTTCTAAGGTTTCACATAGGCATAATGGCTCCTCTCCTAGAAGTTTCTTTCCTTCTCTTATCTTCCATCATGACTTCTATTTTCTGCTCCCAAAAGCTATAATTGAGCCACCCTGTCAATCGATCCCTTCCTACTTACCACCTTCCCAAAACCAAACTCATCCGTCAAGTCATCTTTCTACCTTGAAGCATCTGGTGGCTTCGAATTGCTAATCTCCTGGGTAGGAGCCCGTCATGTAACCCACTGCACCACCATGGCTCCTACGTGGCGCTCTGACCATGGCCAGCTTCACGGACCATCAGTTAGATCCTAGGCATATTGTATCAGATAGTTGCCCATCTTACCCCAACAGATTTGGAGATGGAATCCAAGCTGCACCTGGGTCTTAGGAACCAAAACAACAACAACAAAATTCCACTTCTCTCACTGATAAGCAGCAAATAGTTGCCATCTTAGTGGGTCCCATGGCCCAGCCGGTCGTACACATCGGGGGAAGAAATAACTCATGTTCTTAACATGGTCTCTTTTGGCTAATGTTATATTTGATGTCCTCACATATTCTTTTACCAACATTGAATCCTAATGGATTAGGCAAATCAGCTAAACACAGCCTGTGAGTCAGAATGTTTTATCCAATTAAATTGATTTGTCCAGGAAAGACTCACTTGTGTTGCTTTGTGGGAACACTTCAGCTGTTGACAAACATCACTGCTGAGGGCTCTGGAATTCCAGCAATGAAAAGGAGAAAATGCTTGTTTCCCCCCTGCTAGCCTCATTGTTGTGACTTGTCATTTTGTGCAGGATCCTTTGGGTCTACCACAAGACTGGAACGTGGGTGTATCCTGTGCTTGCCAAATTAAGCCCAGCAGGTATACTAGCTCTCTTCTTTCTCAGCACCATCGTTACCATCACTATTTACCAACTTGGAAAGAAGCTCAACCACAGGACATGGGGTCAGTTATTTCTCTTTGATTTACACAATAATATCTCTCTTAACCTACTCTGCACTCTTTCTGGACTCTAAAGGAAAAATTAGTCCAACGTAGAAGGCAGTGATGTTTGATGTCTTTGTCCGAAGAATTCTGATAGGCTGTGAAAAAGACCGTAAAGAAAAAACCTGTGGGGGAATTTTCACTTTCTTAAAGGATCCCATCAAATTAACACCACCACCACCACCACCTCCCCTTCCCCGACCCTGCAAAATACCTCATATCACTTTAAGGCTAGAAACAATCTTGCTTAGAGAGCTCAGGACCAAGGTGGCACTGTCCCATCCTGAAAGCCTGGGCTCAAGGTCTCTCTTCCTTAAGTGGGGGCAGCAGCTGTTCAAATGGCAAGCTTTTCCCAAAGCAGGAGGAAAACCCACCCAACCGATCCCGACACAGGGGACAGGCACTCCCAGATGAGGTTCACCTGCCACCATTAGTTAGGTGGGCAAAGCAATGACCAGCTAAGGCAGCTGCACACTGGTCTGATCATCAAAGAGCAAGAGACAAGAAGGGTGAGGCTCACGAACCATTTCTCTCTTTGCACTTCAATTAATTCCCACATGTGTTCATTGGCCAGGTTGGCACAGTTGCCTTTAAAATTGGGGAGATTTTCTCGTAAACCCCACCCTTAAAAGCCTTTTGTGTGTGTGTGGAAAATGTAATTACTAAAAAGTCAGATTGCAAAATACCCATGATGTTTCCCTACCCAAAAGGAAGTGTGGGAACTCTCCAGTGATTCTGTGTATAAGAGAAGTCAAGGAGTCACCCACTGACCCCTTCCCCCCATCACACACCCACACACCAGGCTGTTCTATCAAAACCAAAATGGTGGAAATGGCATTTTCCACAATATTTATGACCTGGTGTGAAAACATCAGGCCTTGATATACATATATATATAAAATGACAGTTGCAGAAGGTTCCAGCCCTTGATATACATACATATATACACATATACACATATACATATAATGACAGCTGCAGAAGGTTCCATGTGTGTATTTCTGAGCAGAGGCTGAGACCAGGGAGAAGGAATCACAGAACTAAGATATTTCATGTTTTCTACTCTTGAAGAATGCACCTGGTTAAGAAAATCTTGAAGAGAATATTCTTTTTGGAAAACAAACCTTTTAAAAAAAGATATTAAAAAATGCTCCCAAATCAGTATCCCAAACCATAGGAAATTATCCAGGAACATGTGCTGACATTTTACGGTTAGAAACTGTTTCAAAACTAGTGTTGCTTCCTTGAAGTTCTGAGTAAAAGATTTCAGATGCCTTCCCCAAATCTCTATATTTTTTAAAAGTAGAAAAAAATCATTTGAATTTGACAGATATAAGAAGTACAGAGAAAACCCTGATTGCTCATAATAAAGAATAATAACTTTTATAATTAATTGTACTGAGTGCAATAACAGTTCATTTCTAGATTGCTACCATTATTGAGTTCGATAATCATTTCTAAATCGTTACTCTACATTGAATTTTACACATCTGTTAAGTTTTTAAAAAGTCACTATATTTATTATTATTGAAATCATTATTTTCAACACAAAGCTGTTTTTAATAAGCCTCATGTTAAGTATACCCACTCCTCACTCCTCCCCTTGGGTATAAGAGAATCAATGTGAAAGCAGTGGGTGACCACAAAATGAAGGATGACTACATCATTCCACAACTGCCAAATAATATTATTACATAACTTCCAAATTATATTATTGCATAACCATAAATCTACTAAAAAATTTGGCCCAGCCACATTGACACATAAACTTAACCATGACAGCATTGCTCTCACTCTTACCTCACATCTTAGCATTCAGATATATGTCGTTGATATCCCAAATCAATTGTAGATCTAGGAATAAAATGTCAGATAACAAGATAGTCTGTAAGCGAGGGGTTAAAAACCCAGCCAAACTCACTGCCATCAAATCCATTCCACTTCACAGAAACCCTATAGGACAGGCTAAAACTGCCTCTGTGGGTTTCCAAGACTGCCACTCTTGATGAGCTGAGAAAGCCTTGTCTTTCTCCCAAAGTGAAGAATTGGTGCACTGTCTTGGTTTCTCACTACATTAGGTCCCATGGAGTAAAAAGGCTGACATCCACACCTGGAGCTTCACTTACATTGTGCACGTTTGAATGTTCACGAATGACAATTCAGACTGTGTTTGTTTCCCCTCTCTCTCCAGTAGAGTTTTAAAAATAGAATTCATATAAAGTCCTATTGCAACAGAATAGGGTCATCAATGCATGAGCTACTGAACAGTTCTTAATTAATGACAGATTATTGAATCAGAATGTAAACTAACCCTAGTCCCCTTGGGTTGTAATAGAATCCCTCAGTGGTATAAATGGATAAAAGTGTGCTTGGCCACACACTGCAAGTGTGGCTGTTTCAGTCCCCGGAGAGGCCTCTTGGAAGTAAGGCCTGGCAATCTACTTTCGGAAAACCCTATGGAGTGAAGGTCTACTCTAAGGCCCAGGGGCTGACAAGAAGTCTGAATCAACTCTACAACAACTGTGTTTATTTGTATTTTGTTAAAGATTGCAACAGTGGCGAATCTTTTTCATCTACAGACAGAGTGACCTATGTGAACATATTGTACCGTACCCCATTCTGCTTAAAACACTTTAACTTCGGTTTTCAGGTGGAAGTCCAAGGCTGTCGGGTATTGTTCATACAATTCTGTGATGTCCCAGAACATCTTTTCCCTACATATTTATATTTTCTCATCTCCATGAACTTCAGTCCCTCACATCCCCAGTCATTGCCTAGACCACACACACTCATCTATTTCAGCTCGGATCAGATGCTCGTCTCTTCCTAGAAGTTTTGCTGGCCTGAAGAGGTTCAAGAAGATGATGCCTCTCAGGTCTTCACAGCTCCCAGTAGACCTTCTAAGCATCATACTCACCACTTCACTCTCTTGCTTTATCATCCCTGCTTTAGGGATTTGGAATTACACTAAACCCCGTGTTTCTTGAAGGTGAAGACTATGTCTTGGCCGTCTTGGAACCTCTCCCCCATTTCTATTAGTTTACTCATTAGATCAATCAATGAAGACAAAGGCTTTCTCCCTAGGTATTAGTTGGGACAAAGGTATTGTAGAGATAAGCAACAAAGAAGGACTCTGATGATTACATATTAGAGATTTAGACAGGGTGTTTAGATAGTATAGACAGTTATGTTGTGGGATACTTCTCAATGAACTGTTGAAGGCAGTACCACCAGGAGGAAGAACATTATCATGAGGATCAAGAAAACTGGCGTATGTTCTTAACCTGGCTACAAAATAGCCATGTAACCTAATGAGATATACATCAAGACTTGGCTTCAATGCCCTTAGTGAGAAGATGGCCTCTAAGTATGATGACCACATATCCCAATTCGAAGATAGTATTATATTTATTCCTGGTGGGAGCCTTGGTGAAGCTGTCTGTAGGTGTTGGATTGCTAACCAGAGCCAGTGGTTCAAACTCTGCTCCCACAAAGACTTATCCTCCGAAATCCTGTATAGGGTTGCTATGATTGGAAATGGCCTTGATAGCTGTGGGTCGGGTTTGGTTTGATCCCAGTGTCCATAACATTTACCGTTGTCTCAGCTAGGACACTGGTGATTCATTGGTACAATTTTTACTTTCCATATGGGAAAATTAGGATCCTTTCCTGGCCAATGCACCTCAGGCACAGCCACCACCCATCTGCCAAGAGACGCTGTGTGTTGCTATGAAACGGATTTGTTTAAGCAGAACTTCCAGACTAAGACAGACTAGGAAAAGAGGTCTAGTGATTTACTTCTAAAAATCACCCAATGAAAGCCTTGTGACTTACAACCGTCTGATTTACAAGTGATCATAAGGATGGCATGGGGCCAAATAGAGTTTTGCCCTGTGGTGTATGAGGTCAGCATGCACCAGAGGCTGACATGGCAGCAGCTTTAATAGGCTTGAACACCATACTATCTGTTCTACTACCTCTGAGCCTCTCTCGAGTCCGTACGTTTTAGATCAAGGGTCAGCAAACTTTGGAGAGGGAAGAGCCAATCCTGTCCCTCACAGCCATTTAAAAATTATTCAAGAGCCATAAATATGTGTATACAAGCCAATGATATCCTATGGCCCCAAAGCTGCATTGTCTGAATCATATCCTTTAAATAAAGCCATAATCGTTTTCTTTTCATTTTCGACTTTACTTCAGAACCACATGTACACATCAAAAGAGCCACATAGGGCCCAAGAGCTCAGTTTGCTCCAAGGAAACATATAGTCACCTAATCTGTCCAAATCCTGGGGTAACCCTGGCTGTACAATCGCTGGATGTCCATCAGTTTCTGCATCCTAACCTGTGATTATCAGTGAGTGACAATGAGGTGAACAAGAAGAACCAGAGAGAATAACCTTGGAGAATGTGTGCTGAGCTCCTGCCCAGAGCACATAGACGTCAGAAACCGGCCTTGCCCACAGGAAGCAGAGTCATGACTCTCAGGTAGGTCCTGCAGCCCCTCATGGAGATGCTGGGGCTCAAGAAGGTGGTAAGAGATGCAGAAGGTTGCACTGGCTGCATTGTCCCTACCTCACTCTCTGTCTTGTCCTAGCTTTTCTGTGGCACAGTCTCTCTTCAGTTGCTGTGGCAGTGAGTGGGATGAGCCACTCACCAATAAAGATTCCGTGTCTATCTTTTGGGAGGACTCATTTGTAACATGAATCCAAACAATGAATAGAAGCAGACATGCGGATGCAGTCTGCCAAAGTACTGCTACCTTGTCCATGGTGTCTGAGCCTCTGGCCACCTCAGTCCAAAACTAATTTTCTTCTCCAACTGGGAGAAAGGGGCATTGAGAACATCTTACCAGAGGCCCCCTTCTCTACGCTGTCGTGTATAATTTTCTTTTCTTTTTCTCTTTCTTGATGATAGGCACTCGGAGGCTGACACTAGGACACAAATCCCTCAGGAAGAGAAACCTAACCCACAAGAGCTATCAAGCACAGAAAGGGGCTAGCCTTCACCAGGCAAAGTGGCAAGGCCTCTGATATGGAGTTGTGGCTGGGGCGGCATCATCTTAGCCATGCCCATGACTCTCAGGCTAGAGTGACGTGCGCAGGCTGTTATTTGCCTGGACCCTTGATTATAAGTCCTTTCCTTCCCAAGGCACATTGATAAATTGAACACTTCAGTCTGAACCAGGGACCTTGGGATGGTCTCTGTGTCAGAATGACATTAAGATTCTCATTTAATACTATTTTGTGTAAGCCAGATGTTGTTCTTTTTTTTTCCTTTTTAAAGATCTAGTGAAAGCAGCTTAACAGTTCTCTAGTCTACGCTCGATTGTAGCCATTGGGAGCGGGGGGAGTTGTCTCACATATTATGCCTGATAATTGAGTAATGGAAGAATCATCTCGTGAGGTGATGTGTACTTCTGAAGCTAGCTCCCATCGGACAAAGGCAGCCTTAAATCAATAGCCCCAGTAGATCTCCTTTGGGCCTCTCTTGAAGTGTTTATTTCCCAGGTACACCTCAGCAAACCACAGCAGACTGGGTAGCTTCAAATGATAGAATGAATTGCCCGACAGCTCTGGAGTCTACAAATCTGAATTAAGGATGTTACTGGCAGGGCCACTTCTCACCAATGTCTTTGGGGGAAGATCTTCTCGTCTCTTCCATTGTCCGGCAGCTCCCACTTTCCTTAACCTGGCGATACATCTTGACACGATCATCATCTTTCTCGTTCTCTGGGTCTCTATCCTCTTCCATGAGACCACTGCTTAATATTGAATGGATCGGGACCCATGCAATCCCAGCATGACTTCATGCTGACTGATAACAAACTCAAGGACCATTTCCCATTTCCAGGTGACAGAGGATAGGATGGCGACATATCTTTTGAGGGGACACAATTCAGTCCATAACACTTGCTCTCACTTCATAGTTCCTAAACTCAGAGTCCACTCTGTAGTCTTGCTCATCCCTCTCCCTCGCAGGGGTTCCCCAGCCTGCCTTCTATATTCTCCCTACTATTCTTCACTGTGACTTTGTCTCTTGGATGCTCATAGCTCATGCCTCTCCCCAATTACATGCCTTCGCTAGCTTTTCCCAGCAAACCCAGGGAAATTAGACACTTATTCTCCAAATATTCATTTCAATGTATAGTTTTTCTGATTATAGGTGCATGGTTGGAAACTTTGGTGGATAGTATGTTTTTATCTATTTGGGTCTTAATAGTTGAAATAATAAAGTTTATCATTACTTACGGTCTCTATAGTTATGTAAATTAAGAGCATAGTTTCTTTGCTACACCAGTAGAAACCATTTGGCTTCTGCCTGAGACGAGGAGTCAAGGCTTGACTGAAAAATATCTCTGCCCCACGATGTTGACAGAAGAGAAAGAAAGGCCTAAACCCACAGCTGCCAATTAAGAGGGTTTCCCCTGGGAAAGTATCCCCTTCAATCAATAAAAGCACTGTATTAATTTTTTTTTCCCAAAAAGAATTTGAAATCCACTTTATGCATTTTTGTTGAAGCAAGATATACAATCTACTACTAAATCAGCAGTTCTCGTATCTCTCCATTTGACATGTAGAAACCTGGCTAGAAATAATAAATGGTGGCAGCTCAAAGAAGCCTAGACACTAATTACCTCCCTGAGAAGTCAAGTTTATGGGTAATTTCCTCTGCTAGGAGTGCAAAGGCAGATGTGATTTCTGAGGTACTCATCTCCTACAAAGCTCTATCAAATGAAATGACCACTGGAGTTTCACAGAAATGTTTGGGGAACTTTCCTCTTGTCATAGCTTGGCAGGTATGTCAAAGTATCATTCAGGGTTCGTCAGAGGTACAGAACCAACAGGAGACAGACAATTGACTGATAGATCAGAGACATCTAGATAAGAGCAGGAAAAACACAAAAGATTGATTTATGTTAAAGACTTGGCTAATGAGATCGTGGGAGCTGGGAAGTCCAAAGTCCATAGGGCAGAATGTAAACTGGGGATGGAGGAAAGATTTTTCTATTAGTCTTGAGGGGAATGCCACCTTCTCCAGGAAGCAGCCAGTTTTGCTCCTAGGTTATCAATTGACAGCATGGTGCCACCACATTCTCCAGGGTAATCTTCTTGAGTTAACCAACTCATTGTGAATATTACTCATGTCAACAAAGTACCAACTGAGAACCATAGCCTAGCCAAACTGGCACATCACATTAACCATCATAGGGAGTTTGCTAGTGTTCTGCCTAGCTATTTGGTTTGAGATATGGGAGACATGGGCCCAGGAAAGGAGCCATCCATTCTCCTCTCCCAACACAACTTTCCATCTCTTCCCACCCCCACGCCTGGCTGCTTTTCTCTAAGCTTTTCTGAAGTTGGGACCAAACAAAAGCCCAAACTGACTGCCATCAAGTTGATTGTGACTAAGAGCGATGCTATAGGCCAGAGTAGAACTGCTCATCTAGGTTTCTGAGGCTCTGAATCTTTATGGGAGCAGAAAGCCTGCCAGCATGAAGCCCACCGTGCCACGAAAGTCCCTCCTTAAATGGAGAGGGGACTCTCAAATGCTGGCGCCTGGGTTTGAAGAAATGGTATTACGATCAGTTTGATGTGAGAGGAGGAAGACTGGTACATAGCTTGGGTATAGGATGTCCTGGGAACCCTCAGAGTGACTACAGGGGGAACATATTTGGGAAGCGCTTGAACATGAGGGGATTAACTTGCCATTTCATAACAAATGTTGATCCAAAGTGAGTACCACAGAAAAGAAAAGGGAGCATGCTCATACGTACTTAATATATGAGAAGGCACAGTTGAGGAGGTGAGAAATCACATCAAAAATAAAGAATGAGTGGAAGCACAAAGGAACATAATAGAGCTGGCTAATGCTTCAGTGGGGTGACGGGGTTAGTCTGGATAGATGAGGAGTGGCAGAAGGGAGGTGCCTCCCCAATGGTCGTGGAAGCTGTGCCTTCATAGGATGAGCTGTCCTAGCAATTCAGCGTCGGGTGGGGACTGGGTACACACAAGAGCTCAAGCCACCGTTCTCTAGAACCTCAGCGAGGGGGACTTATAGTGAAGTGAAATTAGCCAAAGATACTTCGTGTTCACTGTTAAGGACAAAACTGATGAAGGGAATGGCTTTTGAGAAAGGCAGTGTAGATTTAGGAGTGCAAGGTGGTTGTGATCACAGGAGAAGAGATCACAGGAGAACAAAAGGAGCAGGGTGCCCACTTCCCAGGGTGGATGAGAGGAAGTTGAGAAAGTGTTCAGTGCAGGACACCAGCATTTGGCAACAGACAGGAATAATACTGAGTTAATGAAGATTCAGACATTTCAAAGCTTCTGCAAAGATATGTGATCATTAAATATAGAGGTATCAACTTGTTGGCTGAATTTAATGGCATAATTTCCGCAAAATAAAGCCTCTATAAAGAACTTACTAAAAACTAATCATTAGGGTGGTACTTTTCCATCCTGGCTGGTAAAACAGGGCTTTGAACTAGTTTGAACTAGTCCAGCCGAGTCAGTAAAATCAGTGCAGCCTCGCATCGGGTACACGTGGGTGTAGTGGAACGCTAACCAGAATGGCTAAAACCTGGGGCTGAGTACCTGGAACGGAAGGCTTGGACGAGGTATAGCGAACCTGCTTCAAGAGCTTCCTGGTAGGATCCTGATGCTGATGAGATTGGATTGTTTGCAGGACTGTTGAGAGTGACACCCATTCAAATGAATGGGGCAGCAACGTTTGACTCTGTCTCTCGTGGGATTTAGTTGCGATGCCAGCAGGGACATACTCCCTTTGTTTTCTGAGAGAGAACTTACGTTTCTAGCAGTTAGTTGTCTGTAATTTTTCCCGATTCAGTTATCAGTCCAGTACACCCACATTTTACAACTTCAGTTCCATTTCATTGTCCGTGACTGAACCAACAAGGAGTTTTGCTGGTGACTCGACGTGGAGAGAGGCCCTGGAGGGACCCCTAATTAGGATCTGCTATATTTACTCCTTTTTGAGGGACTCTATCTCCATCTACAAATTGCCAAAGTCCACCAGTGGGCTGTGTACAACCTGCTGCCACTCATCTAAAGGGCCTCATATTCGATACGCAGAGCCCCATGCACACAGAGGCCGTGTTTGTGACTGGCGAACTGAGCAGAGCTTCTTGCCTTTGTCGCAGTGGGACCTCCTTGACACAAACAATGCACAGCTGTTGTCCTTTTACCCCACTGAGCCTTCCTCCCACAGGCTTTTTGCTGAAGCACGCTAGGGTAGTTTTTAACATGTGGCTGTAAAATAAAATTAGCATAATGCGCTTATGAAAATACCTTGAGAGGTGTGGTTGGCCCCAAGCTGTATAACACACGTATTATTTGCATAGAATATAGTCATCATTCCTAAAGCACTCAAACCCATTGCTGTAGAGTCAACTCCGATTTCACGGAGAACTGTGCTCCATAGGGTTTTGAATGACAGATTTTTCTGAAGTAGATCACCAGGCCTTTCTTCCAAGTTACCTCTGACTGAACTTGAACTTCCAACCTTTAGATTTCATTGTACTACACAAAGACATAAGTTGTTTCTCAGAGCCTCTGAAGGCATATGGGGGACATGTTTTACCCTCATCTTTCAACTGGTTTGAGGCTGGGTGACTTTCCACCTACACAAGAACTACTAGGAAAGCCTAAGGTCTGAGGTCTCTCTCTTTTCTTCTTTGCGCAGGTGTCATGGCACAGCCAGGGAAGCAGAAGCAGAAGTGATTGCATGTTGTTTTCCAAGACCAAAGAAGAAGAAATCAGCAGAGTTCACCTTCATAGTTGTGTTTTGTTTTTACTAGTAAGGGGAGGTGGTGGCAAGGCATAGAAAAGTAAAAGGGATAGGAAGTTATATAAAAGTTTAATAAGTGGGTTATGAAGGTAGATGGATTTGAGGGTTCTTGTGTTTTTACATGCTCCCAGGACACTCTGAAAACATCTCCCGACAACCCAGAATATATTACCAATCCTCAGAATGTACTGGAGATTGTCTGTGGCCAAAATCTGGTCAAAGGCCAAAGAGCTCACATAAAGTCAGGGTTAGAGACATTTCCAGGAAAAGGGAACTTGGAATCATCCACATTGTTCACCTAACAGAGGTAGAGACCAAGGCTCCCTTCTAGATAAGATGCTATTTGCATGAGAACAAAGCACTAACCCCCACCCAGTGCCGTAATCTCCTCCCTGGGGGAGGGAAAGCCAGTATGTTGGTAAATTAGCTGGAATCCCCGCCCCCCCAATGGATTGATCATTCTATTTTTCTGCTAGATCTAGGTAGAAATATAGGGAGGAATGTGCCCCTTACTGGTGTTGCCAATCTTACTGGGAAGATTGCAACTTGACTGGGGCATGTGAAAATAGTTGCCAACCACATTGAGAATGACGTCCCCCTTATGAGCCTTATTAGCCCCTTTTGGGCTAAGTGTACACACGGCATTATCCAAATTTTCTCCATATGAACCAAGATTCTTCACCAAATGAGTGCTATGCTTTATGCTCAGGATGCCTCGGGGTCGGAGGTGCTATAATATATGATTATAGCATAGGATTCTAGCTACAAGATTAGACAACTGAACGACACAGAACTGGGTTGAGCTAGCTGTGGGCTTACAAAGCTGATTGTCGTATTTGATTACCAAGCACATTCAGGAGCTCTCCTTTCCATGTTCCTGGGCCCTGGTTTATAAGCTCAGCTTTTGAAGAACACAAATGTCAAACATTTAATGGGAAATAAACATGCTCTACTCTACCAGTGTGCCACCAGCCCTCTCTGTCTTGGGTGTTAGCTCAACGGTCAACTGTCCTCGGGTTCATCAAGCAACAGGAATCCAGTGAAACTGGATCCCGGGAGCAGTAGGAGAGGGAACAGACTATGCCACAAAGCCTGCTGGCCATCCTCTCCTTTGCTACTATTAATAAAAAGGAGCCACAAGTCTTTTCCTTACTAAGCTGGGAACGCCACCTTCTTCTCCCCACACCTGCTGCCTCTAGACTGCTCCAAGCACCTGCTCTCCACAGGAGCCCAAGCATAGTTGTCACAGTGGAAATTCCCCAAATGCGAAGGCCGCGGGGGGATCACCCAAATTTTCCACCACCACCCCAACCCCCCAACCCCCACCCCCTTCTCAGAGTCATAGTAAGCTCTTGGCTGGAAGGAACCTGCCCATTTCTATTTGTGGCTGCACTGTCCCTAGAACCAAGTAAGTCTGGATGGCTGCATGCCTGGCCACTGTGCCATAGCCATTCCATCCAGCACCAGAAAACGACAGAAGCCTTTCCCATTCAGGGCATGTGCCAGCACACCTGTACCCTCCTCGGGGCTGCTGTAACTTAAAGGGTATAGAATGAAATGGTTACAGTGGACATTGATTAGACACTCATTAAAAAGTATATAAGAACTGCTACCGTGGACTACCCTAGGAGGCCCTTAGTAGCTATAAAATAGCAATAATAAAACCCCCCAAAATCCGAGCAATAATATCCATATTGGGTCGTGTAACTTACCACCACTTTCACCTCTGGTACCTCATTTTATCTTCATGTAAGTGGAAAATGTCTTATAGCCTGGCTTTACTAATGAGCAAACCAGGTTTCAGATAAACCCTCTGGACATAATGAACAATTTAAAGCTCTGATAGCAAGCGTTGTCCAGCTTCCCCGGTGTAAATACTCTTACCCTGGCCTTTTGCAAGATCCCAGCGTGAGGGAACTGAAGCACCAGTTGGGCCTCACGAGCCCCGTACGGTGGCGCCAGCACACCACTGGCTTCAGAGGAGAGGCACGTCATGGCCACAGCAGCATGGACGCTCCCAAGACTGTATCCCTTCCTCCTGACTGCAGAACAAAGCAGAGACTAGTCATTCAAAATATGGTCTCTGGGTGGTGCCAACAGTGAACATGCTCAAGGACTAGCCAGAAGGTTAGAGGTTCAAATCCACTCAGAGTTAGTTTAGAAGAAAGGCCTGGGGGTCTTTGTCCAAAAACCAGCCATTGCACCCCCCCACCCCCCCACCACCACCCTCCCCACACACAGTCACCCTGCGAATCACCTGAATGACAATCATTTTGTTTTTGTTTTCATTCTGGTTTTTCTTACCCAGACAGGCAGAGAGAGGGCAGTCAGCCCTGCCCCAAGGACTGACCCCACCTGTGTGTATGGGCTCATGTTGCTATCGTTCACGTGAAATCCACATTGAATTCAGTGGAAGACTTACCTCGATCATGTAGGTAACACAATAACCTTCCCCGTACCCACCCACAGACTTACCTCGATCATGTAGGTAACACAATAACCTTCCCCGTACCCACCCACAGACTTACCTTGATCATGGAGGTAACACAATAACCTTCCCGGTACCCACCCACAGACTTACCTTGATCATGGAGGTAACACAATAACCTTCCCCCTACCCACCCACCCGAAAAGGGTCATACTTTTGCTGATTATTTTCAGCTCCTCTGCACCTACTCGCTTGCAATACTTGTCATAACAGGAAGCCAGTTGCACATAGCTGTAATCCCAAATGTGCAGGGACAGTGAAGGGCCTGCAGAAGGGAGGCGATGGACCTCCTCGCAGGCCTCAGGCTGAGCCCCGGACTCACCCCAAGTCTGGGTGTCCCTCCCCCCAGCTCCAGGCCGGGGCATGCGAGATCAGGGTCCGTACCCAGACAGCCTGGGCTTCCTTTCTCCGGGAGTTGGCAGCGCCTTTTGTCTTTTTTTTTTAAATAAAGCATTTGAGTAGGCAGCAAAGCTAGTCAGAACTGTTTATTTATAGCTGTGGCGTTTCAATGCTGTAGAAATTAGAAATCATTGCTGAATGAGGCCCGCGCCCACTCACACCGGCAGGGCCGCTAGCTGTGAGTCCTTTCACGCGTTCCCTGTACACAGTCTAAAACGGGAGAAAATGACACGCTCCCAGCCCAGTGACAGAGGCCCCGCTAAACGGCACGGCAGAAAACCTGCAATTATTTTTCCTCAGCACAATATGGGGAGTACGACAGGTGCAATTATCCAATATTATTTAACAGCACCGGTTTGTGGTGGAGAGAGAAAATAAAGGTTTCCGTGTCTTAGAGGGAAAAAGAGGAGGAAAAAGAAGCTGTCTCAGGGCTTCTGTTGCTGTGGATTAAGCTGTGTTATGTAAATGGAAACTGGCCGGGATTCCACAGGGGAGGGAGAGCCACCTGGCTCCTTCTTGGAGGCTGAGCCCCGTGGGGTCTTCTGGGGAAGTCCCTGTGGAAACAGTGGCTCCAGGTAAGGCTGGGGGGGGTCCTGGTTCTGTCTGAAAGCCCTCTCCCCTGCAATTGGCCTCCCTCTCTCCACAGACCTGACGTGCAGAGAGAAGGTGGCCCAAAAAGAATCACTGACGATGATCCTTCCATTGGGCCTCCCCACTGATTGCTTCAAGCCGTGTGTGTGTGTGTGTGTGTGTGTGTGTGTGTGTGCGCGCGCGCGCTCACTCACTGCCCTCAAGTCAATGCTGACTCCTAATGACCCAACAGGAGTTGGGTCTGTGAGCTTCTGAGACTGTAACTCTTCATGGGAGTGGGAAGCCCCATCTTTTTCCCAAAGAGCTGCTGGTGGGTTTGAGCTGCTGACCTCGTGGATCACAGTCCAACTCATAACCACTATGCCACCAAAGTTCATATGTATACAGATGTGCACACACATTACAGATGTATATCATTTATCCACTATGCCCCCCTGGGCTCATATATGTATATGTGTCTATATGTGTATATATACATATATATATATGAACTTTTTTGTTTTTGTTTTAAATCATTTTATTGGTGGCTCATACAGCTCTTACCACAATCCCCATCCATCCATCCATTGTGTCGAGCATACTTGGTGTATGAACTTTTTATTGTGACTTAGGTCAAAGTCTACAGAGCAGATCATCCGTTTTATATTCAACAACTCACATGCATTCTGATTCAATTCACCCGCTGCAGTCCCCACCCCAATGTCCCATCACATCCCACTTCCTTCTTGTGTTTCCTGTGTCCATTTATCCTCCTTTCCTAACCCTCTGAACTCTGTTCCTTGAATAAGTGTTCCTCTTCGATCTCACGTAGTTCGTTATTCTGACAGGGAGGTGAGCTCAGTTGCCGACCTGACGGGTAAGGACCACAGTCCCAGGGGTCCCACCACTCTCTAGCTGCCTGGTCTCTTTCATGGCTTTCAGTTCTGGTCCACAGTCCTCTCCCACTTTATCCAGGAACTACCAATGTGCTCTTTTTTTAAAACAGTTGGTAGCGGTAGCCAGGTACCATCTAGTTCTTCTGATCTTGGGATTATAGAGACTAGGGTTTGAATGGTTCTTTAGTCCATTGGAGGAATAATTGTCCTCATCACTTTACTTTCCCCGAGAAGAGACCAGTCGTTGCACCTTACCTGGGTGCTCACAAGCTGGTAAGACCCAAGTGGAGACGCATTTTCCCAAGCTGCTTGCTTATGTCTGAGGAGTTTTCATAACTCTGTCCTCGGTGTGCGCCACCACGTTCACAGACACGTTCACAGCAAAGGTAAGTACAAAGATACTCGGTCAAACCTGTCTATTGCCAGGCAGGTCACACTGGTTTGATGCCAACTCTGCTTACTCTGATCACTTATCTTGGAAAATCTCTCCCAGCCGATCTCGAGTTGATCCTGACTCATGATGTGCCCCTCATGTCAGATTAGAGCAGTGCTCCAGGGGGTTTTCGATAATTAAATTTTGGGAAGCATGCTCACTGCCCTCAAGTCCCAGCCTTTCAGTCAGTAGTTGAGTACTGACCATGCTGTGGAATCTACTACACACGGACTTAGAAGCTAGCAGCCTTGTGAAAACTCTAGTTAGCATAGATGGGGTCACCACAGGGCTTTATATTCATAAAATATCCGCTCTTTTTTTTCCAGTTTACTTTAAAAAGTCATTGCAGACAAATAGTTCACATATCAAATTAGGGGCTTCTTCACCAAATAATATCCTCCTCATTAAGAAGCTAAGATTCCCAACATTCAAGCTGGAATTGACTTAATGGCAATGAGTTTGGTTTTAAAATTGTACTAAATCCTAGAATCCTATTAACAATGACAGTCAAATTACAGCATCATATGTCCCAGTGGTATTTCAATGCTTTCAAAATATTAAATATTCTTTATTTAGAACTGAATATGAAGGAATTTCATTCTCTCAGAACTATTTAGATGCTAGTACAGTGGATGCGGGCAGATGTAGTTAGGTTAAAATGTAATACTTTATCATTTAATCTCTCTTTTGACCCATTTAAAAATTTTAGTTTTTAACATTTTCTGCTTTCTCTTCAATTGTGGTTTTTGTTTGATTTTACACATTGTTGTTGTTTTTGTTTGTTTGTTTGCTTCCTGTTTGTGTTTTCTATGATTTACTGTGTGTAAAAGTCCAGGATAGGTAAATCAATAATCACAATGATTACTATTGTGTAGTAAATAATGTAGTAAATAACGATATTAATAATTACTTAGAGACATGGTAGGGGAGATTCTGGGGGGAAATAAACTGACATCAATGAGTACCATAGGTAAATGTTCTGAAATTGATTGAGGTAATGATTACACAACTCTTAATATGATTGAATGATTAAATTGCATGATAGCCAATAATCAGCCATTTTAAGAGGCAGCATCTGAGCAAGAAGCAATGGTACTTAAAGAAAAAGTCTAAGCTGCACTGAAGGCATTAGCCAAAGCAAGGCTCTGAGAATGGATGGAAGACCCACTGA